AAAAAATATAACGTGAATAGTTCAATGAAACCACTCTGTAGTGTCTAATTTTTACAGCGTAACTCTGAAATAGTCTACAGATGAAATATGCGTTACTTACAAGTGCTGAATTCGCCATACTTATCATCATCTTTCTGTTCAATCATCTGCCATATTTCCTATCCTTTTCGACGTTTAGAGAGTTTAGTCCTAACAACCCGATAAATTAAAATGTTATTGTACAAAAATAAAATCAAAAATTGGTACACGCGTGTAATAGACTTTCCGGACCTCCTTCGTAACATTCGATGAAGCTAGGAATATCTGAAGACGACGTACTCACGAGCAGGTCGCGTGGATATTTATTCTTAAATCTTAAATTTCGCATCGTAAATCGTTTGCTCAAGAAGGAATGAGTACCCTGATTTCCATGCTCGGTTTGTACAGTCCATGCTAACAATGACTGTATTATAGCTGCTTCTTATTCAAACAATACCGGTTCGAATCCAGATCAACTTAACTGAATCGTGTATAGGGAAACATCTGCGCAGTTGCTGCCTCTTACAAAAGCGAGCGAGCGAACAGACTTTCATGATTCACCGACGCTGGGTTCCTGGTAGCTACAAAGTTTCCACAAGGACGTAACTATCACAGTGATCACGAGCAGGAGGCTGGGAATTTCTGTTGAAATCACCGACGTTTTTGTCTGAAATGTTGGCAGGCCTTTTCTTCAACAAAGGAGCCGATTCCTGCGACTATGCCCGTAACGTTGTTTGCAAGAAGAAATCTGGCGAAACAAGTTCCTCCACTACTAAGGCCCCCCCGATCACCGCTGCCACGAGCCGTACAACTCGCATCAGCTCGTCCACCGTCACCGCACGAACGACCTCAACAACCACACCCCGACCCGTGGTCGACGACGACGAGGAGGAGTACGGAGAGGAGGATTATGAGGACGAGGAGGACGAAGGAGAGGAGACGAACCCACAGGATATAAAAGAACTACTCAATATAATCAAGAATATAGGTACGGTCCTAGTAGAGTAAGACTTTCCGTTTTACACACTTTTCCGCTTAACACAGGTATTTCCTTGTAACTACGAGGTGCGATCGGAAAGTTTCAAGACTGCGCCTATAAAAACCCGTACACTTATCTCAGGTATTAAATTCAACCATCACCCTCGAAGTAGTTCCCCTGTGAGTGAACACAACGATCCCAGCGCCGCTGCCAAGCCTGGAAGCATCCCTGGAAATCTTTCTTTGTCAGCCTGTCAAGCACCATCTGCGATTCTGCCTGAATCTCTTCTATCGTCTCAAATCTCCTTCCCTTTAGCTGAATTTTCATCTTTGGGAAGAGGAAGAAGTCACACGGAGCTAAGGAGGGTGCGGGATGACGGCCATAGTGTTTGAGGCCAAAAACTGCCGAACTTTGAGGGCGGTGTGCGCTGGCGCGTTGTCATGATGCGTCGCATGTGGAGTTCTTCCTTTAGAATCAGCTGACAGGTCCCATAGCCTAGCCCAACAATGTCGCACAAGTCGTTGATGGTACGACGACGATCTTCGTAACATTTTCGGGCGTTGTCCTCGAAGATGGTCGTCCAGAACGCTCGTCATCATCGACAGAGGTTCGGCCATTTTTAAAACGTGAATGCCACACAAAAGTTTGTGCACGACCCATTGCGGACTCCCCAAATGCTTGCTTGAG